TGTTAAGATCTCTTTGCAAACTATCACATGGGCCTCACATCATGCATTCAGTCAGTGGTGGGTGGATTTTAAAATGCATTACTGGTGTACAATAAGTGACCAAGGACTGGGAAATGTGACTGAAATATTTTCTGATTTCTTTTTGCAAACACAACATCAATTCAGCATAATAAACTTGGATCAACAGTCTCTGAAACCAGCTGAGTTATCAAATTCCAGTGGCACAGCCACACTGGCCTACTGCAGGCAGAAGCAGATGCTTGTGATACTTAAAACATTCACACGTTTACTATTGTTTGATACCACCTTGTCAGAGACATGGAGTGCTGTCCATGTGCAAGAGGGCTCTACTTCAGGAGTGCAGGCAGACGAGTGAGTCCCAGAGAAGGAAGGCATCTGAAGAGGCAGGCCAGAGCACTCATACTTGAGAGACAATGGCTTTTTGTTTGTAAAGAGGTCTTCATGCATCGGGGCTTCTCCTTTTCCAGAGACTGTTGATAACCTGCAGCTGAAGCATGGGTTCAGTCTGGTAGCTCCTGTATAAAAACCCCGTATCCAGGCCATTCCAGGTGCTAATAATAGGGCCCTCTTTAGGTCCTTCTCTGCCAGTTCTGGGCCTGGTATACATTGCCTCAGTAGCCCACCTTCCTATGGAACTTTTCCAATTAACTCTGCAATCAATGTTTGACCATACCTCAGGCTTCTACTATAGTTCAAATATGTGCATGCCTTGACCTTGGATTGCCTGGGCCTCAGTGCTTGCCTGTTCTCCAGAATTCAGAAATGTGATAATATAGATCTCAGAACATTGCTTGCCACCTTTGTCTTTGACTAAGACCCTTTTGATAACAGAGCACATATACGTGTTGGAGAATGCCATGAAATGTAAAAGATCTGAAAGCAAAACTAGTTACCATGTAAGGATATTTCACCACAGTAATTACAAATGGTAACACCATCTTTCTTGCTTTGCTATGCAAATTTTAAGGGGGAGAGTCTTGATATAGCCCCATTCTTTCCTTAAAATCAAGAGTTCTCTCTGAACCATGAATGTTCCTCTAAGCTAAGGCAAGGGTTCCAAACCTTTTTTCACTTGCATATCAGTTGGCAGCCTACTTGCATAAAATTGTACGCTTCATATCAACAGAATGTAATTAATATAGTTGCTGTTATTTCACATTTATGTGTTGTGAGTGACTATAAATAAATAGCCCAATAATGGGATTAAAAAGCAATGGAATAATAAGGTGAAGGGACTGTTGCACTTAAACATATTGGGACACCAATATGTTTAAGTGCAACAGCACTTACAGTAAATGTTTGTGAAGCAGAGGAGAGTGACAGCCGAGCATACACACTGTAGTGGCCTATTCAGAATACGTTGTTTACAGAGGGACTCCTCACCATTCACCAAAATAACAAAGAAGGGAATGGGACTTTTCTTGAGGTTAAATAACCAAGAAAACTTGCTCCACCATTCATCATAATGTTCAATTAATTTCACAACTTTTGACTTGAAGCTTGTCTTACTATGTTGACACGCGTTTCCCCACCATTATTCAATTATTATTTTTTTGCATATCCCTAAAAGTGCTTGTTTGTACACCTGGGGGTTTGTGTACCTCAGACTGGTTGTTGTGAGCCGCCCAGAGACCTTTGGGTAGAGTGGGCGGCATATAAATTAAATAAATAAATAAATAAATAAATAAAAATAAATAAATATATAATCTATGATTGTATATACTGGGCATATTTTGTGTTAGGTGGAATAATATGATGATTTGTATCTTCAACTCCCATTCATAACTACGTACAGAGATTTTTCTAGGTGACAGAAGAAAGCCCAGTAATTTGTTACCAAAGACAGTGCACCAGAAAGAAAGCCGTACAATGTGAGTATTGTCATAAGGGTGGCTGTGGATGCAGATGGCTTTGATCACAGGGTTTTTAGGGGAATAAAATGGCAGGGTGTGTGGACTGGAAGTATGGACATCTTCTGAGCTTCTCAGAGTAAGATATAGATGGACTATGAATGTAATGGATAGTGATTAGTCAGGTGGAAGACACTGCTCAGTGCAGCTCTTCATAGCCATTTTGAAGGACAGCGTTGCAGCTACTGAGTTTATTTCTGATTGATTCTCTACCTGGAATGAAAGTTTCTACATTTACCTCACTCTTAAAAGTGCATAATTTCCAGACAGACATGAACTGGCACTTGCCCTACAGAAGTGTCCCTACACCATTTTGCAAGACTACCATGTTTGGAGTGGATGTGGAGACAAAATAAATAAATAAATGCTATAGATAAAACCCCTGATACATATCAAAGTCTAAAATCAATTTGCGTCCTGGGAAGGAATAGAAAGGACACATTTCTATTTTTAAATATGAGTGTTATTATAACAGAGCCAATAGGTAAATTTAAAAGCCAGCATATGGAAATGCAGAGCAGGTGCATGTACGTTGGGATCGGGTTGTTGTGTATGATGATTAGCAAGGCTGATGAAGACCGGAACTCAAGAGGAAATATCCACAGGAATAACATATCCGGAGACACTACCTTGTGAGCTATGAGCCCAAAAGCCAATGTGGCCACTGAGTGGCAAAAAGAAAAGCAAAACTTTGTTCCTCTCTGGGCAATATTATTTTTGGTTATATGCTGTCCAATTGGAACCAACTTATATATACCCTAATTAGGCTTCCAAAGTGGGTTAGATATTTAAGATGTGGTATTACCAGTTCCGCACCTCCGGTGAACTTCCATGACTAAATAGGGATTCGAACCCTACACCTTCACTCTATCCACTACGCCACACTGGGTACCTGAGGTAATCTTATATCCATCTGCAAATGACAGAGTGGGGCCTGCTGTAGCCCTCACTCTTGAAAGAGTACCTGTTCCATGCTAGACAGTGGACTCTAGAAGATGATGAGGCAGGACTTAATCAATGCTAAAAGTTATTGTTCCTCCACAGAGGTTGTGAATACAAAGTTTTGTTTAGCCTTATGTGCAGTTATTTAAACCTAATGCTCAGTCAGGGCACCCTTATGCCCACAAATGCACAAGGGAGTCACCAACAGTTTTCTAATGGATATTGATGCATGGCCCAGCAACACAGTGTTGTTGCGTATCCTGCCTTTGAAATGACCCTCCCCAAAATTACACACAGAGAGAGAGAGAGAGAGAGGGAGGGAGGGAGAGAGAGAGGGGGGGGGAAACAATGTCAGAGTAAAGTGACCAGATGGAAAGGAGGACAGGGTCCCTTGTTCCTTAGGAGAGGAAATTTCAGCAGACATCACTTTTAACACACGCCACACCTTGTGATATCTTCTCCACTACCTAACTATTCTAGGTACAGGAACCTCGTCTTCTTCGGCTGGTTACCCTATGTGGCCCGTTAAAAAAACCTGACAGGAAAAAAACTGATTGGTTTGACACGTGTTGCTGGAGAAAAGGAAGGCCAAACACAAGAGATCATTGGCTTCAGTTTGCAAGAGCTGAGCAGGGCAGCAGAGCCATTTTGGAAAGTGCTCATTGATAGGGTTGCCATAAGTCGGAGGCGTCTTGATTGCACACAACAACAACAAACCCTAGGTGGGAAGCGAGTGTGTGGCTACCTTTTGCCCCATGGCTGATGCATGCTGCGCTCATGCCCCTTTTCTGCCTGCGACAGAAAACACCTTTCTGCCCCGTGGAGATGGGAGATGTGCTTTTGCCAGGACAGGGCCTTCCCCCGTGACGATGGGCCGAGGCGTGCCCATTCCCCCACAAGAAGAGAGGCGTTTCATGGGAGTTCTTTTGAGTGTGTCAGCGAGGGGGATTTAGTCAGGTTATTTTGTTGTACTCGAGACGAAGACCTACCCGCACCCAGCCCATTCCCCCATCTAGGCAGTCTGGAAAATGCCACCCTTTCCTAGTTCAAGGTTTCCAGGTGGCGAAAAGGCCGCGGCCCCTTTAAAGCCAAACTTCGCTGCTGCTGAAAGAAAAGGGAGAGGCACCGCCGGAGAAACTCGGGCGCTTCTTTCCGCCCCCGTTGCCCGACGGAGGCTGAGCGGCAGCGCCTATCTCGACAGGAAGGCTGCGCGGCCGCGTCGCAAGCCGGGGGAGGGCAGGGGGAGACGGGCGGGCCAGTCGGCCGAACCCAGAAGCCAAACGAACCGCGTCCGCACCAGCGCTTGGTTTTGTAACAATATGCGAAGCGGCGGCGATGAAACAAACGAACAAACACAAAAGTCCACAACTCCTTCCCCCACTCCCACTTTCCTGTCTCCGCTGGGCTGTGTGTGTGTGTTTGTGTGTGTGTAGTCGTGCGTCTGTGCAGGAGGCGTGGGCGAGCCTGCGAGCGCACAGCCGGGATTGAGGCTGTGAGATCTCATTGCTTGTGCAAGGCAGATAGATGCAAGTTTCCAACAGGAAAGGTATCTGCCTACCTCCGAGGGTCCAAGAAGCCCCGTTCCCTAACTGTGCCGGCTAGGCCTTCTGGGAGTTGTAGTCCAAGAACATCTGGTCCCTTCCAACTTTCTTGGAACCACTGGTTTCCAATAAGAGCACGGGACGCCCCTTTAGTTTGTCACCCTGATGGCAGAAGCCCCGGGCACTGGTTTGAAAAATATGGATGATCTCGGGCAATTCCCGCAAGAACAAAGCGACAATGTTCTTTTTCTGGAAGGGCTCAGATGCACAAAATTGTGGAGCGGGGGTGGGGGTGGCGGGCTGGCTTGGGAGGAAGCCGCCTCCTTTTTTTTCCTCCTCGCCGCCTTCCCCGCTGCTTCGTGCGACAGACGCTCTCGCAAAGCCGCGAGTTCGCGGTTGGAAAAGTTTCCTTCCCCGGGTGGGCGGGAGGCGTGGCCCTCGGGGGCGTGGCTTCCCTCCCTCTGCACACCCGCCCCCCCCATCCCCATCCCCATCGCGATTTGCATCGCACATTTCAGCAGGACTTCCTGATCGCTTTCTATTGGATGCAGGTACGAAAAAGAGAGAGAGTACAAGGGGAAACTCATGCAAATCTCTGGTCGGTTCCGCACTCCTTGCCGCCGCCCCCCCCCCGCGGCACCTCTTGCAGCCGATCCTCCAGAAACCACTTCTCGTCTCCTCCTCGTTGCCGTCGAAACATAAGCACGTGTGACCGGAGAGATCGCTCCTGATCCTGCCCCTCCGGTTTGCCCGTTTGCCGGGCGGAGGAGGATTTGTGGAGCAGAAGTTTTCGGCGCCACCACCAGCCACATGGTGGAAGATCGGAGTGGGAGGTGAAGGACGAGACGGAAGGGGGGGCCGGCAGCGGTGGCGGCGCAAAAAACCGAGAAAGGCATCATCAGGAGGTCAAGACGCGGGAACCATGAATGAGATGTCCAGTTTCCTGCACATTGGGGACATTGTCTCCTTGTACGCCGAAGGGTCGGTCAACGGTTTCATCAGCACTTTGGGGTGAGTGACAGACGGCACCTTTCCGTCGGCAGGAAGGGAAGGGTGGGTGAGGAGAAGGAGGAGGAGGAGAAAATCCTTCCGAGAGAGAGAGAGAGAGAAAAAGTTGGGAGGTGTTTTTTTTTTTTTAAATGAAGCCAACGAAAAAAGAAAGAGCAAACAAAATTGCCCCCTCCCTTAAGGCTGCCTCGCTTCGGTGGGTGAAGAAGCGTTGAGCCCAGTGCCGTGCAGAGCGCGATTCTAACGGACTGGACAAAAATGGGTTAATAGGCGATCCCGAGGCTGAAGTTGCCCTGAAGTTCCGGACGGCGCTGGAGTTCCGCGATGTTGCTTCGCTGGATTTGTTTGTAAACAGGCGGAGGCGCGCGGCGCGGGTTCAAAGCATCCGGACCCCCGCCCACGCGCCGACGCCGGGAGCTTTGGGATCGGATGGGAGGGAATTCGGAGTCTTTCCGGCAGGATCTGTGCAGGATGTGCTGAAGAGCCTGATCGGAGCTCACTCAGGTTGTCCATAGGTCGATATCTTCCGGCTGTGGGCTGCAATCTGTGACCAAACCAGTAGAGTGCCTGGCTTAAGGACAACCCGCGACAAGCTGCTTCCTTCCCCTCCCCTGCCCCGTCCACTTTGAACCAGGAGGCTTCCTTGAACCTGTTGGGCAACTGCTGGGGTGGGTGGGGGTGGGAGGGAGGTGAGCAGGAGTCGAGACAGGCCTGGCCTGTGAGAAGGGGTGCTCTAGTGGTCTGTGGACCTAGAGCAGCGTGAAGACAAACAATGAAAATACTCTAGAGAACAGGGTCCAATCCACATATCCCCATCTGTGCAGGATACAGTCTGGTGTGTGTGCTTCCTGATACTGAATACACATGCATGAACAAATTAATTTGTACTGGTTGACTATGATTAGTAGAAATGATCACGATGGCAAGAATAGGGAACAGTTTCAGTTTGGGCTGTTTTTTCTTTGCTGCTCTCTGTATATGACTAATTGCAAACGCCTATTGTTTTGCTTGAGCAACGGAACAAAATACAGTATTATCAATCCTTAACGATGTGTTATTATGGCATAAATATTCGTAGCCTCTTTTTGGTGCATAAAGTGTTAAGAACCAATCTCTCTCCTGGCCATCACCATTGTTCATAATGTCGTTCAGCGATGCTCAAAAACTCTGTAACTTTGTATTCCAGCCTTGAATTCTGTTTGCCCAACTTAATCATATCAATACAGTTAATGCTAACATTCAGGGTATAGAAAGCTGCCCTTTGCTTTCCTTCTGGAAAGACGATTTGTATCATACACTGTAGATGCCCTTCTTGAATCTCCGTGACCTGGCCTTCTTTACGCTGTCTGCTCCCAGTTAGCCCTCCCACTCATGTTCCTGCTTTCCCCTAATCCCTCCTTTCACTTTTGTCATGCCTTCTGCTTAAGGTTGCAAGCCTGCTGGGCAGGAACTTTGTCATTTTCAGCACCTAGTGCATGGGGCTGGCGCTCAATCAATGCTAATTGGTAGCCATGAATCAGTGCCTGCAAACTGTGACATAACCTGCCAAGTAGCTTGCCAGCTTACACTCCTCGGGAACCGCTTAAAGGCTGCCATCCAGCTGTGCTGGTTCATTCTTTGCTCTGGTGGCCCCTTTGGATCCTCAACAGACTCTGCAGAGCTGTTCCCCAAAAGAAAAGAGGAACGAAGGCAACTTATGGGCTCCATGAGGGTCGACCCTTGACTTCTCTCTGTCAAGGATTTAGAGACACACAGAGATGCCTGTAAATCTGGAGTAGGAGTGAACAGTTGTGGTTAATTCCCACAAAGCCATTGTTTTCAGACTCCTTTCCCTTAGCAGGACATTGCTGGCTGGGTGGCTGGCAGGCGGAGCAATAACTTGGGTAGAGTGATCAGAGCTTTGACCCAGGGCTCCAACATTTAGAGGGTGAAAAATCTGATGGTGGAAAGGTGCAAACCCACCCATTGGCATTTGTTGGTAGAAGAGTGTGGAACTGTCTGGCCCAAGTGAGAATGCCACCTCTCCGTGCTCCTCCCCATGTGGAAGTAAACGCAAAGCATGTGGGTAAGCGTTCAATCAATTTGAACTTAGTGCACTCAGGTCCAGGTGTTCCTCTTCATCCCACTGTCTGTCCCCTGCATATGCCAACTTCATGTGACCAAATAGGATAGCAAAGCCTCAGCTGCCAAGATTGATTTCTTAAGAAAAATAGTACAGTTACATGAAAGCTCATCAGTGTTTGTTGGCCCTGCGTGACCAGTGGATGAGAATAAGATAAAATTCATTTCCTGGCAGAGCTGAAGTCTTAAAGGGCAGGGATGTGCTGTATCCATGCAGCTTCCATACAGATTGCAAATGACTCCATGTTTGTGCCAGTTTTCAACAAGTTGGAGAAGATTTGATGGCCAAAGCTTGAAGGAGGCTATGCAAGTAGAAGGCATCCCCTGTACGCCAAAAGCCCCCTACAAAACAGTATCAGGTAAATGGCTCTCTAGTGACACAGGAAGACCATGTGTGACAAAAGGCACTTTGTCTTTTTCTGGAAACAGGCTCTTCTGTTACCACTCTTCTCTTTAACACAGGTGGTTTTATGATAGTTTTATGAAGTCAGCCTTCTCAAAAACCTAGTGGCTCCCAATGAGTATGGGTATGATCTCCATCATCCTCAGCCAGACTGGCAAGTGGCCAACAGATCTGGAAGGCATCAGATTGAGAAAAAGCAACTCTAAATCAGTATCATTCTAGATACTCAATGCTTGGGAAGCAATTGATGTTCGGAGGAATGAAGAGTTATATATATATTCTCACTGTATATATATTCTCACTATATACTGCCCCATAGTGAACAGGCACTTCCTGGGTGGTGTTCAAACAGCCATGATATTATATCACAGCAACAACAACAACAAAACAACAACAGTTAAATATATTAGCAATCAACAAATAACAAAACGTAGTCAGTAAAAAAACAAGTGGCATATCATTTGCTAAATAAAAAGGATTAAATTAATATTGACTCCAGTCTAATGTCCTAACCACTTATGCTACCTGTGGAAAGGCCACTGCGGCCTTTGTGGTACACCAGAGCATGAAATCTGCCAGACATTTTAGGTAGGTAGCATGAGACTTTAGTACTCTTTGGTTGAAATCTTGTTCCTTCATGTAGAAATCTTGTTGCTTCATGTTGTAAGTTACACTAAAGAAACCCCATTGAATCAGTGGGGATTTGGTGAGCTAACTGCTCCATATGTTCCATTGATTCGATTGGGCTTACAGTACTCTGTTTTGAACTCACTTCATGAAGCAACAGGATTTGAGTTTCTGTGCAGTCACCTATAAATGCCGGGTGCCCTGGTTGGTTACATTTAGTTTTTTGTTTCCTAAATAGGATATAGGTCAACAGAGGTGTGTATGTGTAATTAAAGAGGTACACATGTGTATTTGTTTGCATCAAAGTACAAACATAGGTCTAAGAAGTGCTGCAAAACTGAGTGGATATTTCAGGATGGCTGCAGAAAACAATATGGGCTGCAACGTGTTATGTACTTGTACCCTGGGAGATTCATGTAGACACTAGTACTAAAGACTGCCTCCAAACAAAGTCAGAAGCAGACTCTGTGAGGCAAAGGCAGAACTGCAGTTAAGAGGAAAAGGAGAAACCCAAGCGTATTGGGGCAGAGAAGAACCATAACAGTATCCACAGATGGTTGCTCGGTCATCAGTATCATCAACTTGCCTAAAACAAAAACAAATTTTATGACATAATGGAAAATAGCTTTTCAAATCTGTGCCAATTACCATGCAATCCTACACTTCCTTCTCAGAATTAAGTCCCTCTGAGTTCCCTGAGAGGTACGTCCAGGCGAGGGGGTAGAGTATTGTAGCTTTAATTATTAAACCAATTTGCAGTGTCCATTAAGAAGCCGTCCAGAACTATTTGTGCCTTATTGTTCGCGAAATTAAAACTTGAGGTATATCTTACTGTGGTACAGTATAAAAAGAACATATGTGTCCAGCATCATGGCAGCTGATGTGTAGTATTGTGTATTGATTGGGAAGCCATAGCTGGCCATATAAACATTCTGCCAGGAGCTAGGTAGCCTAATTTGGGAAACTTTTCAGTATATTATATTCCACAAATCTGTTGAATAAACTGAATCTCACAATGATAGAAACAGAAAACTCACCTTTCCCAAGGAGGACATTCATATGTCTACAGGTATTCTGTTACTGTAATCTAATGTATGGTAGGTTGGTGGAGAGAGGGAAGAGGGGGTTAAGAGATGCACTAAGTGTCCAAAGTTCCTATTAGCAGCCCAGATGTTTGCATCCATTCTCAGGGTAATAATTTCTGATGGTAATTGTGGTGCAGCTTGTTGGTTAGCCTGGAACACATAGTGGTCCTCCACAAAACAAACGCAGTGTGATTTTTATCTGTAAGACTGCTCCTTGTGGTTCCTGTCTTCAGGCTAGAGTGGAACCTAGAAGGTGTTGTCATTAGATTGCATGATACTTGTTGTTAGAAAACAGCATTCCACAATGTGGTATCCTCCAGATTCATTTGACTGCACTGGCTCAACTAACTATGGAGAATGGGAGTTACACTCTTAAAACAACTGGAACATGTTGAGTTCACAAAGACTGTCTTACAATATGGATTCTTTGTGGTGTTCCACCTGGAGTGGTCTTAACTGACTAGATAGGCGGGATATAAATAAAATAAATAAAATAAAATGAATAAAATAAATTCCTTTCCAGCTGTGAATTGGACATCATCATTGCTGTTCTGAGGCTGGATGTGACAGTTTTCACCAGCAATATTGTGCTGCATACAAAGTAGTCTCCTAGTTTTTTTATTTAGCTAACCTCTGCTTCTTCTTCCTGCATTTCTTTTCCTGGTTATTTTACTTGGAATGATCAGCTGGATTAATCTGAACTTTTTCTTTCTCTTTACACTATTGAAGTTTACTTCCTTTCCGAATTTTATGAATTTTACTATTTT